GCTCCTATTGGAGTCACCCTAACCTCGTCGTCACTTCAGAGAGGACCCAGGGTGTCAAGTCTTCCAGTCCAGGAATGTGGCCTGTCTTCTGTCTGTGTGAGTTTTGTTGGTATCTTTCCATCAGGTTTTAATGTTTTATTCATTGTGGTTCTTGCTTGTTTATTGTTAAACTTCTTCCTATTCCCTTCTTTGCTGCTGCTATAAATGGAGTCGTTTCTCCTTTATGGTTTCTCACTAGTTGTTGGTGTGATATGAAAGCTATTGATTTCTGTATATTAACTTGCCCTGCCACCTCATCGACTCCCTGACTGTTTCCAGCAGCATTTCAACTGCATTCTCTGGAGGTTTCCACATGTACAATCACAGTGTGTTCAGTGATCGTGTTACCAGCTCCTTTGCAATTATCGTACCTCGAATTTCTCTTGTTGTGTTGGCTAATAGCTTCAGGAGATGTTAAGTAATGGAATGAGAGTGGGCATTCTGGTCATGTTCCTGAGTGCAGTAGAAAGCTGTCTAGTGTTTCCCATTAAGCATGATGCAGGGTGTGTGTGTGTGCCTGTGCACCATCCTACATAAAATATATGTGCCTATATATGTATTTATATATATATGTACATATATATATAATTTACATATGTGTGTTACCTCTATGTATGTATCTCTATACATGTGTGTTTATTTGTATAACTCTTGTGTAGCAAAAGTAGGTTTACAGTTATGAGTATGTGAAACATAGAGTTTATTCTTGTATTGTTATTTACTAATTATTGTATTATTTCCCATATGAACAGGTGTAAAATTACATTTGCCTCACCCTGTATGTGTAGATGTGGGTGTGTATATATAAAAAATCACATTGGAAACAATCATCTATTCTATTTATTGAGTTTTTATCCAAAGTAGTTGTTGGATTTTGTAAGGTGCTTTCTCACTGTCTGTGGTTATAATCATATTTTTGCATTACACTTGAATTTTTTAAGATAATCTATTTTTGCATTTCAGAATAAACCTACCTCACAGTGGTTCAGCATTGCTTTTTTTCCCCTGATGCTTGGTGGTCGATATTTTAAAATTTTAATATCCATAACTGAGGCCATCTGTAGTTTTCTTCCTTGTTTAGTCTCACTCTAAACAAGATAATATAGGCATCCTATATAATAAAGAGGTAATATGCAAATTGACTATCACTCCAACACACAAGATTGCCCCCCCCCCCCATGTGGACACAAGATGGCTGGCAGGGGAGGCAGTTGTGGGCAATCAGGCCTGCAGGGGAGGACTGTTGGGGGGGACCAGGCCTACAGGGGAGGGCAGTTGTGGGGGGCCAGGCCTGCAGGGGAGGGAAGATGGAGGGACCAGGCTGGCAAGAGAGGTCAGTTAGGGGTAACTGGGCTGGCAAGGGAGGGCAGTTAGGGGCAATCAGGTTGGCAAGGGAGGAAAGTTAGAGGTGACTAGGCCAGCAGGGGAGGGCAGTTAGGAGTGACAAGGCTTGTAGGGGAGGGAAGTTAGGGGCAACCAGGCTGGCAGGGAGGACAGTTAGAGGCAAACAGGCTTGCAGGGGAGGGCAGTTAGGGGCAATTGGGCCAGCAGGGGAGTGGTTAGGGGGTGATCAGGCTGGCAGGCAGAAGCAGTTAGGGGCAATCAGGCAGGCAGGCAGGGGAGCAGTTGGGAACCAGCAGTCCTGGATTGTGAGAGGAATGTCCGACTGCCGGTTTAGGCCCAATCCCGGAGGGGTCCCAGATTGGAGAGGGTGCAGGCTGGGCTGAGGGACACACACCCCCTCTCCCCTGCATAAATTTTGTGCACCAGGCCTCTAGTTTTATAATAAAACAATTGGAAAGTTTTCCTCATCTTCATAGGCTCTGAAACACATCAGGTGGCCTTAGAATCGTCTGCTACTTGGTAGAAATCTCCCACGAAACTAATGGCTTAGTGCTTTGGGGGTGGAGGGGAGCTCTGATCACTTTTTATACTTATTCTATACCAATCAACGTGTTTATATTTTCCGTGACCATTCCTCATGTTGTCAGCATAAGAGTTTTAGTCTCAATAGCCATTTTATGGGAAGAGAAATAACCACTAACCTCTGTGTGCTGAGTCCTGCTTCTACACCAACTTGAGTTCCATTGGTTGTAGCTGAGTTGTAGCAACAGGCTGTGTACTAGTAGGTGCCACTCCCAGCTCCTCACTGACCTCGCCCCTCTCCCCAGCGGGGGGGGGGGGGGGGGGAGCAGGCAGCACCTTCCCCCACAGCAGGGTGCCTCCGTGGCGCCCTGCACATTCCAGAGTTTTCTATCAGATCAGCTGAAATGAAACCCAAGTGACACCTTCTCTTTGCCTGGCTTCATCCCCATCCTAGCCTGTCTCCATGCTTGTCTTCCAGGTTCCTCCTGAGGAAACCCTCTCAATAAATCACTGCCCAGGAATCGCTGACTCAGTCTCTGCTTCCAGGGAGCCCATGTCGGCAGCTCCACCCCCCTACCCGCTGCTCCTTCTCCGGTTTTAGTGACATTGGGTGCAGCACTTAGTGATAGGTATCACACAGTAACTTACCTGTAGACATGTCTGTCTCTGTCATTCCCTAAGTTCATGACAAATCCTCTGAAGGACAGGACAGTGTCTTAGACCCCTCAGTGTTTCCTGCTCCTTAGGGTGGGCTGGCACCCAGGAGGCGGGTTAACAGAGAGCGGATGAGCAAATAGCGCATTTCTTGGGCCACAAAATTGTCACGACTGTGGCAGCGCCTGGAGTGAAGCGGAGCACGGACTAATGAGGGGTGAAGGGGAAGCCGTTTCTGTTTCCAGCAGCTCTAATTTCCCCAGAACCCAAAGCGGAGAAGCGGACCAGCCCCAGGAGAGGCGGGGCCAGGTCTCAAACCCTTGTCTGTAGAGAAATTATACCGCAGGTGCACCAGACATCTGCATGCTGGAAAACTTCAGGAAGTAGTTGTAAATGTTAACTTCCATTACTCTGAAGACCTGCTTAAATGAAGCTGGAATCTGTAAAAGGATTTCTCTGTCAAGACAGCTGCTCACTGGCTAGTTCTCCACAGTGCCACTGGGTAGGCATTTCAGTTAGAATGTGGCTCCCTCTGGAGTGAGGTGCCATGGACAAATGTCTTTCTAGTCCACCTAGGGAGCCACTGCCGTAGGGCCGGGCCCTGTGGAAAGGGGAGCAGCTGCGTTTTGAGCTCCTTCTATGTATGTTGGCCGGTCCTGGGGAAGACTCCACAAGGGGGTCGTTGTATTCTGTTTCCACTTGTCTTACAGCAGCATAGCTCGTGGCTGCTGTTTTGTGACCGAGACGTAGGGAGGTAAATGTCCAGTTGCTTCCTGAGGTCTCCATGTGGCCAGACTCAGCAGAGAGGGGTCAGCAGCGACCAACCCAGCCCACACCCAGGCGGTTTTCAGGGCCACAGAAATGGGGACCGAGGAAGGAGGGACCTGGACAGACAGGAAGCGACACTGTGCAGCTCTCGTCCATCTGCCCGGCGGTCTCACCGCACACATAGCGGGCCAGCCCCTGACACAACCAAGGGAGCGGACTTCGGCTCAGTCCACCCTCCTCTCCCCATTCCTGCCTCCTCCCACCTGCAGTGCTCAGTGGGCCCTCTCTCCTCTCTCCTCTCCGCTCTGTCTCTACAGAAAGAGCCCGGCTGTGCGGAGTGGGAATGGCCGGGAGCTTGTAGGCTTTTGAACTAAGCTCTCAGGGTAGAACTTTCAGCTGAGCAACATGCATGTATAAGGAACTTATTACCTGCCCGGCTCTGTCTGGCGTTTGGAGAAGTAAATGTCATTAGACACGGAAGGTTCACTCCAGCATGTGCTTGGTCTGCAGGACTCATGGAGTGGGGCCCAGCAGGCCGCAGACGTCTGTTAAAGGTGCAACTGGCTGAGGGTGGCCTGACCACATTCTCTTGACATCAGGTGGCAGCACCAGAAAATAGAATCTGCTACTCACTCCAGTTGCCCCAGGCAATCCATCTAATTACATGGACTTGCCCAGGCTGGTTTGGCTCAGTGGGTAGAGTGTCGGCCTGCACGCCAAAGGGTCTTGGGTTCAATTCCTGGTCAAGGGCAGGTATCTTGGTTGCACGTTCACTCTCCAGCACTGACAGGGCACATGCAGGAGGCAATCAATCCATGTGTCTCTCTCACATCAATGTCTCTCTCTCTCCTTCTCTCCCTCCCCTCCTCCCCCAATCTCTCTCTATGGGGTCTTGAGTTTGCACAGGAAAGTTGCCTGGAGCCCTAGGCAGCCTCAGAGGCAAACACTAACTGGGATGGGTGGGCAGGATTCAGGGAGGCCAGGCAGGGCCTGTTCTCTCAGAATCTGCTCCTTTCTTGGTCTCCTCCCCCATCCTGTGCACAGCATGTTCCCATCAGCATATCTTTCCATTAGGATGCGATTCTCAGCCCACAGGACCAGGGGGAGGTAGTGGCAAGATCCCTGGAGTCACTGGGTAATCACAAAGATTGTGGCCAGGCTGGGGGCCCTGAGCTCTTCAGAATTGCAACCCAAAACCCAGCAGCCCGCCAGCTTCCTCTCCCTTCAGGTAGAGGGTGGCAGTGCCCTGTATCACTTGTTTGGTGGCTGGTCACTGCACTGACTCCTCTGCCTTCTCTTCCCAAGACCCTGTCCATCAGCTAGAGACCCCTCGGGTCCCCCTGCTGATCCTGGTTTGAGAAGTCAGTTGAGTTCTGGGAATGAGCATTTCAGCTGGCGGTGCCGTCCTGAAATTAGGCGGGCACAGGTCACCCAGCACCTGCTGTAGCCCCGCGAAGCCCCGCCTCCCAGAAGCTGGGCGGTGCTCCTGGCCTGAGCTGTCCCCCGTTTAGTACAGTGAACATGGAGGCTCGCCGCTTACAGATCTCAAAGCTGAGGGTGGCGGGCCCCTGGGTCGGCTGAGGCAGGGGGGCGGGGTGGACGGGAGAAAAGTGGAGTCACCCCATGGAGCAGGCAGCGCTCCGTGTTCTGACTGACGCCTTCTCTGCCCCCAGGCCTGGATGTCCGGCAAGCTCAGGTTGTCGTCCTGTCCTCAGGGACCAAGTGCATCAGCGGCGAGTACATCAGTGACCAGGGCCTGGTGGTCAACGACTGCCACGCAGAGACCGTGGCCCGGAGGGCGCTGCTCCACTTCCTGTACGCGCAGCTGGAGCTGCACCTCAGGTGAGCGCTAGTCCCAGGGGCGTGTGCACTGGGTGTGAGCTCAGGCTGGTGGCCGGCGACCAGCTCCGGTGTTAATCCCTGTATCCAGGCATGGTGGACGGCTGCCCCTACTACACACGTTTTACCCAGATGGGTGGCATCCTTCAAGCGCCAGCAATGTTGCTGTACAGGATGGTCAAACGTTGAAATTGCAGACACCTCCCCGGGATTCTAGGGCCTCCTTCCAGGAAACCCCTGCTTGCCCGTGAGTGACCGTGACTGCAGCAGACCATCTGCAAGGTGCACATCCCCCCACACATATACCCACACGTAGGAACATGCCTTGTCACACACCCATTCCATCCGATGACATTTTCTATTAAAACCTTCAGGGTATCTTAGCTCAGGCTGCACCACAGCTTGGGACCTTAATCACTGATGCTCAGAAGGAGGCTGATCGTCCAGGGTCAAGGTGCCAGCAGCCTCCGTGTCCGCTGTCTATTAACCCTCTTCCTGGGTTATGAAGTGTCTTCTCACTGAGTCCAAGCATGGAGGGGTGAGGAAGCTCACTGGGTCTCTTTATAAGGGCACTGATCCCATTATGGCTAAGGCCCCACCTTCATGACCTCATCACCCCCCAGAGGCCCACCTCCTAGTGTCAGCAAATGAGTTTGGGGGACACAAACGTTCAGTGCATGGCAGGGGGTCTCTAGGTGACAGCACAGCACACTGCTGTAAAGGCATAGGCAGCTGGTGCGATGCTCTATTCATGAGTGCGTGCAGGGTCAAGGGCACAGTTCAGAAAGAGGGCTACAGCCACCCCATGGCTCCCCATCCTGCCGACTGTCATTCAGGGTGACTCACCCTCCGAACCCCACACACAAGGAGATGATGGGAACTGTGGGCTGTCTGGAGGGTGCAGAGGTGTCTCCGAGGGGGCAGCCCCCAGCTCTGACGTAAGGTGCCCCTTTCCTGTGGGCTTAAGGGAAGGCAATACTCTTTCCACCACCAGCTCCCAGTTGCTCATCTCAGAACTAGCCTTGCATTTTACAAAGAAAGAAAACCTCACAGAAAAGCCCGTCTCTGGGAGATGGCGCTGTCCCTCCTGGAAGCAGAGTGGTGGCGAGGGAGTTGAGGGAGGGGACTGTGCTTGTTACCCAGAGCAACGCCCCGCTCCCTGGCCCACTGCATTCCAGACGTGCCCATGACATCAACACCCCAGCTCCATTTTGACAAAGTCGTGCCCACTTCAGAGGGGGCCCACTTCCAGTACATCCAGGAATTTCACCTGCAACCTGCAGAACCGCTAGGGTTTGCACCTGCCTCTGCCCGTGTCTGTCTCCTATTCTGACAATTTCTCAGCCAAGGACACTTCTTACAGAGCAAGAATTTATTCTGCAAGACTAGCTGCTTCCTCTCAGACACTGGGCTGTGAGACAACCTGCCCTTCAGTTTCCCTTCCCCAGGTCTCATCCCATCCCGGGCCACGGGGCTCAAATGCCACCAGTCAAGCCCAGGCCAACTTCCCATGTCCCAGCCAGCAGCTCTGAGTGCACCTGAAACCTCAGCCAGGTTCAACTCCAGCCCCCTCCTGCACCCCACAGCCCCGGTGTGCCCACTCCCAGACCTTGTACCCTGCACCACGACGGAAGTGGCCGGTGGTGGGCCTTAGATGCTGTCTCCTGCCTGCCACTCCCCTGAGCATGGCTTCAGGGGGCTCTTCTAAAAGCAGAAGAGCTTTTAGAAGAAAAGGGCTGTTCAGACCCTGAGGAGGGTGCTCCCAAGTTGGGATGTCCCGTGTTCTGGGCAGCCTGCTGGGGCCGCCAGGATGCCCTGCACTGGCATCTCCACAATACGGAGGAGAACTGCAGGTCACATGAGCCTTGTGCCCAGCTGTTTGGTCACCGTGACTTCATGGCTATGTCTTTGTCAGAAACGCGTCTTCCTGCCCCTCCAGCTGTTCTGCATCCTTTGAGATGGCGTTTCTCCAAGCCAAGGTTTCGGGGTGCCAGGGGCACAGGGAGTGACTCCTGCATGTCGCTGGCATGTGCAGTGCCCGCACAGGGGCAGGAAGGGCCAGAAGCATGCCGGGCTAGCCCAGGGAAGCGATGCCTGACCCTGGCATTGAGCTGCAGCCCTACCGTGGAAGTGGCCGGAGTTGAACATGGGGGGCAGAGCTGCAAATCTCTCCAAACGTTGAAAGGGTTTCTCCTAAATCTCCAAGAGCTCCAGCAGGAATATTTCCAGATATCCCTAACTTTTCTGTGTCACCGAAGGCACAGGGCCCACATGGACCTTGGGCTGGCTGCATGCTGGCACCAAGCCGCTGGCTGGCAGGGGTTCAGCCCCACCCCACCCCCCAATCCCCCGGGGAGGGGGGGATTAAGCAAAGGTTGAAGAAAGTCAGGAACAGCCACCCAGCAAGCCAGGCTCTGCGTTTGCTCCAAGGTTGGGGGTGGCGTTTTGAGAGAGTGAGGGGGTGCCTGGCTATGGAAGGAGCAGAGGCAAGGAAGCAGAAGGCTGGTGGGATGCCTCCAGGTGCTGCCTGTGTGAGCTCAGATCCCACAGAACAGAATCCATCACCAATGGGGCAGGACGTGTGAAAGCAGCCAGAGCGGCAGGAATAGGGAGCCTGTGCCGGTGACAGTGGTGTGTGTAGGGGGCGGGGGGGGAGCAGGCAGGCTCAGCACCCAGTGGGGCCTCAACACCTCAGGGAGCCAGAGGTGGGATGACTGTGGGAGGCATCCAGGGCAGAGGGCGTGCCCTCAAAGGCTGCAGGCCCTCAGTGCTAGAGAAGCCCCCTGGCCATGGCTGGACGCAGAGCAAGAGGGTCCGTGCACTGGGTTCCTCACTGGCTGGCAGCCGAGCTCTGCCTCCTTCAAAGTTCCCTTCCTCTGTGTAAACAGAAATGAGGTGCCCATGCAGGCCGTGCAAAACCCACAGTGCCCACAAGAGCGTGAATCCGCAGGCTTACACGCATACCCACGAGAGCCGGGCTTGGGGGAAGATCAGCCCGGAGATGAATGCTGGGGGAGGCAGACAGGACGGGTTTCTGCTGTGTGTGCCTTCACATGGTTTCCCCTACTCTAGAAGTTTCCATGCAAGGGTGAAGAGGAAAAAACGGGGGAATAACAACAAAATGGGACAAAAGCACCCCCAATCAGGACGTGTCCATCTGGTCCACAGTCGTGACTCAGCCTCTTTCTGCCCCCAGCAAGCGGCGAGAGGACTGGGAGAGCTCCATATTCATGCGGCTGAAGGACGGCGGCTACCGGCTGAGGGACAACACCCTGTTCCACCTGTACGTGAGCACGTCCCCCTGCGGAGACGCGCGCCTCCACTCGCCCTACGAAATCACCAAGGACCGTAAGCAACAGCGTTTTTACCTTTTTCACCAGCCCATGCTCTCCTGGGTCGGGGCCTCGGGCCCGGGCTATCTGTGCCCAGACCCCGCGCGTGTGGTGTGGCCGGGCCCTGAGACACTGGACACAGCGGGTATCTGCCGTCCTGTGTAGTCATCCCTCTCAGAGGTCAGTCCGAGAGCCAGGTCACGGGAGAAGAGTGATGTGAAATCTGAAGTTAGCTCTTTCATTGCATGGGTCCCCACTCCATCTCAATCGGTCAGAAACTCCCCGGCCCAACTGGAGGACAGGATGACAGAGGGCGGGGACCGGATTTCACGGAGTGGCAGCACACTCAAGCTGCTTTCTTTGCCTTCTTTGCATCTTTGGGAGAATAAAACTCAGGGTTTTTTTGTTTTTGTTTTGTTTTGTTTTTAGTTTAGTTTTTTTTGGTTTGTTTTTGTTTTTGTTTTTTACAGAGGGGAAGGGGGAGGGATAGAGAGTTAGAAACATCGATGAGAGAGAAACATCGATCAGCTGCCTCCTGCACACCCCCTACTGGGGATGTGCCCGCAACCAAGGACATGCCCTTGACCGGAATCGAACCTGGGACCTTTCAGTCCGCAGGCCAACTCTCTATCCACTGTGCCAAACCGGTTACAGCTAAAACTCAGTTTTTTAACAAAGCTTGATGCCAGGCAGCAAAGACACCTCCCCAGGGTAGCTGGCATCACCCACAGAGTTCGCGCTGACCCCCTTGTGAGACCTGCCCTCTGGGACTTCTCAGAGCAGGTGCCCACGGGCCCACTCACCTCCACCGCCAGGGGGGTGCCATGTTCCAGAGCGAGGACACAGCGGGGTCTTCGTGTGGGTCTGAGGGTCAGTGTCTCCATGTGTAATAAAGAGTGTGCAGCTAAGAAAGTCTATTACTGATAGTATGTGCGTGTATATTGTGCATACACACCACACACATGCACATGCACGCACATCTTCCCAGAAACTGCATGAGGCAACTCTCCTGACGTGGACCACCCATTAAGTGTATGTGCGCGATGAGGGATCCGCTCCTAATGAATGGTGGAGGCTGAGGGACAACACTCTGTTCCACCTGTAGGTGAACCAACCTTCATGGCCTCATCTGAACCAGATTGCCTCCCCAAGACCCCACCTCCTCATACCATCTCCCCGGGGGTTAGGGCTTCAACATGAGAACTGCAGGGACACAAACATTTGGTCCATACAACACCCCCATGGAAAGTAAGTGGAAGAGCCAAGTCTAATGAGAAGCAAGAGAGTGGAATCCACTAAGTACCCGGGACCTTTCCAGGTGCTTCCCTGGCGTGAGAGGTTGGGGTGGGCCTGGCCCCAGCGGTGGACGCAGCCCTGCCTCCCAGGAAAGAGTCACACCAGGGTTCCTTCACTCCCGCGCCAGCTCAGAAAGAGAAAGAGGAAAAAATAACATGAAGTTGTTCATTTTTCTTGAGAGGTTCATCAGACCAGGTCTGCATGACCCCAGCCCCCCACATAATACTGTGAAATGTGGTCCATTTAGCTGCTGGAATTATCTTTCCATTTCCACTTGAAAGGTTTGGCATCAAGAAGACCCAGACAAGGGCTCTCGGGGTTTGGAGGGAGGCCCTTCAGGCATGTAGGGCCAACCCTACCATGCAGCCTCCTCCCAGCAGGAGCCCCCATCCCGCTGAGCCCACTGGTCCCCACAGAGGGTCAGTTCTAGCTCATTGGGCTCCCGCCTCTGCACTTCGGGCACCTGCTGTGGCCTCCCCAGCCCTTGACTCCAACATGCAAAGCCGGGGGTTTAGAAAAACAAAACAGATATGTCTCGGATGCACCCTGGGGTTTGCTTCCAGACACAGGCATCTTTTATTTCATGGTGCTTTTTAGAAGTGGCAGGTGCTGCTGAGGGGTGGGAATAAAGCATTTCCTCACATTTTTGTCTGCAGATATGCCAGGCAAAAATGAGGTGCTGCACCCGAGTTATTGAGGCTGGCGTTTCTCCCAGTGCATTCTACTGGGGGCACTGAGGAGGGGCCCCTGGTCAGCTTGTCCTGCAGACCAGCTGCCAAGAGTCCTACCATCATCATCATCACCATCCTCAGCTTCACCATCATCATCATCATCATCACCATCCTCAGCTTCACCATCATCACCATCAGCATCCTCAGCTTCACCATCATCATCATCACCATCATCATCATCACCATCCTCAGCTCCACCATCATCATCACCATCCTCAGCTTCACCATCATCATCATCACCATCATGATCATCACCATCCTCAGCTTCACCATCATCATCATCACCATCATCATTATCACCATCCTCAGCTTCACCATCATCATCACCACCATCACCTTCCCTTACCCGTTCAGTAAGGGCAGGAAACCCAAATTCCTGCTTGAAAGGGCAGGACCTCCTGGGAGAGTTCTTAAAATGCAGGTTCCTGTCACCTGTGCTTTCCCCAAGACTCTGGTACGTTTGGTGTGGTGGGGCCCCAGGGTCTGTGCTTTCACCATTCCCCCTGTGCTTCTGAGGATAAGGATCGCCCATGTTTTGAGCCACCAGATTGGAAACCCCTAACCTGCCCCCTGCCCCGATTGGGCTTGTATCTCCTGCCGGTGTCGTGGGAAGGTCTGCATGCTCAGCGCGTGTGCTGGGGTCTCTACAAAGGCCAGGCAGACGGGGCAGCAGCAAGGCTTTTACCGGTGAGGCCAGAGCAGCTCCAGCCACAGGCTCTGCCTGCGGAGGTCTTGATCTGACCCGCTCGGAGTGACTAGCAGGAGGAGGCCAGACAACCACGCGGATAATTCCACTTCCTGTGTGGCTCTGGGAGGCCTGGGCTAGACCCAAGGCAGTGCTGACGAGACCCTGAGCTGACCAGGGTGATGCTGGGCACTTCCCTGTGGCTGTAGGACAACTACTGTCCTCCCTCTAGCTCACCAATATTCTTAATTCAAAGTTCTCTCTCTTGCTATGTTCTTAAATAGCCTGATAAAGTCCATTCTTACTGCATTTTTCCAAGAATTAGTGCAATTCTCCAACCTGTTTCACACAAGACACCACAAGAAAGAGCACAGTTGTGTCATATCTTACACATGTGTGCTAAATGTCTTGTATGTCCTATTCCATGTATTGTACATTAGGGTAGTTCAAGAGACAAGCCCACAATCCCATAGGAAATCAGGGAACCTAAGATGTACTTCCTGAAGTCCCTGTCTTCAGATTTGCCTGCTGAGTTACAGAAACATGCCCTATGTGTCTGTGCATCATAGGATTAATGAATGTAAATGGCCTCATTATGCACTATCCTCATACACTGTCTTCATCAAGTAAGACAAAGGACACCCACGTGATCAAATGACAAATACTGTAGACATTATTAAAATAAATTCTAGATTGCTTCACAGGTATACTTTCTAGAATATGCCTTTTGAAGATGACTTAAAACTTAAAAGTTTATTTGGTGTTTAAAAGCATTTTCTCTCTTTCCTATACCTGCTTTCCCATGTCTGACTCTCTTTCTCTCCCCTATTGACTCTCTTTCTCTCCCCTATTGCTGCAGGTGTTACTTTTTAGCTAGACCTTGGCTCCTAGGTGGACTTCTTCAACTGTGATTTATCTCCCCCTCTCATTGATTCTCTCCTAAAAAATAAAATAGTCACCTAACAGTTTCCTAAAGAGTATTACCACCCTCACCCTATGATGACATCAGTCTCCAAAGGTGAGGGTTTAGATTAACAAATACCATAATGAAGAGTCTGGTGACTTGGACAATTAGAATTAGACTAGAATGTACTCATGGATTTGGGAGTGTATATGTGTGCACAGCAGGCAGGATTTTCACGTTTCACATCTCTGCTGTAGGGCACACCGTAAACTCCCTACAGGTTATTGAAGTTCCATTCCCTGCAGTTTCTGGTTCACTTGGCATTTTGTTCTGCTTGAAGTAGCATCTTTGACTCTCTCCTGCCTCTCACAATGAGGCACGAGAGAGCCAGAGGAAAAGGGCTCCGTAAGATCATCAACACTCAGAGCCCAGGGACTGATCATGCTCATCAGGAAGCTGGCAGAGAAGGCAGCCTGAGAGTTAACACCTCCAAAATAAACACTTCTCAGGAGCCTCTCCTGCACCTGACTCTTCAGGAAACATTAATGTGCCAAAAACTTTGGGTTAGCTCCTGAAACCAGCTCTTAAGTCAAGTCAGGCCTCCCTGTTGTCATGGCATTACTAACTGTAAGGTCTATTTCATGGGAAGTTAGTTGTGCAGAAAAAAGAATAAAATTTGAGAAAACCCTACAATATAATAAGCGCTTTTAAGCTCTGGAAAATGGCACAGTAGTAGAAGCATTGAGAGAATGTTATGAATACTATAATCACCAGAAAGAGAGGGACAGCAAGTACCATATTCCCTGAGAAACTATCCCCCACATGGAAGAGGCAAGGTACTAACATGTGGTAAACTGTGGAAACTGTTAGGTATGCTCGTCCTCTACTCTCCCAAGGCTGCCGGCTGTAGGAAGTGATGTGATAAAGACCCTTCCTGGACAGTGTAAAAAGCTAGGTCAAACCAAAGAGGGCTCACGTGTTTTTGATTGATACGAACTATTCTATGTTCAATTTATCATCCTCACTCTCATCATCTTTGTCATGATCAACATCACCATCATAATCACCATCACCATCATCACCATCATTACTATCATCAGCAGCAGCTTCACCATCACCATTGTCATCACCATTACCACCATCACCATCATTACTGTCATCAGCATTGTCACCATCATCATCACTGTCATGATTCATGGTGCCACTTAAAGCTGCAACGAGGGGCGAGGGCTGGGTGTTCCTTGTCTGTGCCCACCCAGGCTCAGCCTCTGACCTTGGTTCTTCCTTCTGTGGATGACTCACAGACCAGTCCAAACTGGATCTCATTAAGTACTCGCTTGGTAGCAGGATCACAAAGCAATCTGAAACCTCTTGAATGTTTACTTTCTCTGAAAAGTATGGCGATCTTTCTTCCCATGAGATGGCCTTGGGGTACTATGGGAATGTAGTAAAAGAACTTTAGCTCTTAGAAATGAGAAAACATACTGGAAGTTACTTTGAGATCTGTAAGAGAAGGTGCCTGCATAAACATGTATGTTATCTATTATTTGATGTATTTGGTAAGTATACATGAGAGAGAAATCCCATCTCCACAACTTCTAAAACAAAAATTGAAGCTTTTTAAAGAAAGCATCTAGAATCCATCTATGTCATCATATGTAAAGTAAATGTAGAAATCACTGTACTATTTTGTAAATAATGTGAATGCAAAGAAGTTAACCATTTCCAAATTACAGTATAATCTAGACTTAATATACAGAACTTCTTTAAAGAAAGAAAAAGTAAATATAAACGTCCCCTCGTTCATGCTAGTTCTTCAGATTACTATGGGTGGGGGTACATTGTGTGTGTGTGTGTGTGTGTGTGTGTGTGTGTGTGTGTGTGTGTGTCTGCTTGTGTGGAGAGAGAGTTCTGGAAAGGAAAGGAAAAAGAACGCAGAGCACAGGCATTAGGGACCCACAGGGACCCATCCCTAGGCTCTGTCACCTCATTCCTGGGCATAGTAGACCCCTGCCTCACACAGCCCTGCCCTTCAGTAACAGCCGGTACTGTGCCCTCTCTCATGTCATCCCCACAGCCTAGGAGGCAGGCACCAGTATTACCCCAACTTTAGTATGAAATCACTGTGTCACCATGGTTTTAAGCTATGATAGGGCCAAGATTAAAATCCAGACCAAGGAGGGCAGACCACAGCCCTCAGACCAGTCCCGCCCACTGTCTTTTCTGTGTGGCCCATCAACTAAGCATGGTTTCACAAGTTTAGATGTTTGAAAGGGTGACAAGAATAATACTTCATGACATGTGAAAATGACAGAACTCAAACCTCAGTGTGAATAGCGAGCGGGAACGCAGAGCTCCTGGCTGTGCTGGCCTGGCTGCTGCTCTGTGCCTGGGGCAGAGCTGAGCGGCTGTGACCAAATGGCAGCAGCACCTCAGACACGTGCAGTCAGTCGGCCCTTTCCCAGCAGGTGGCTGAGCCGCTCCAGGTGGTGCCCTGGAGCCCAGCTCTTCACCACGTCACTGTGGGAGAGGAGAAACTCCTCCTGCCCTGGCGCTGACTTGTGCTTCCCTGTCCTAACACATCCACAGTGGCACTTGAGATGTTTCTGAGTGCAGACCTCCCCTCCCTCCGAGCTGGGAGCCTGTGTGTCTCTGGGCAAACAGGGTGCCAGCCACCTCTCACACCACCTCTTGTCTCCTAGTGACCAGCAGCAAACACATCGTCAGGAAGTTCCGCGGGCACCTGCGCACGAAGATTGAGTCCGGGGAGGGCACCGTGCCGGTCCGGGGCCCCAGCTCCGTGCAGACCTGGGACGGCATCCTGCTGGGTGAGCAGCTCATCACCATGTCCTGCACAGACAAGATCGCCAGGTAACGCCCCTCCCCCTCCGGCAGCCCGAGGGACAGCGGGCACAGGGAGGGCCTGTCCCTCCCTCACAGACCACTCTCTGAGTTTCCCGTGTTCCTGGAGAGGGTGCCCTGAGCAGGTCCAAACTGCCGCTGCAAACACGCACAAAAACACACAGGGCAGGTGCAGGTCCCCGTCTGACAGGTTGGGCACTGCCAGGCTCATGGCATGATCAGGAGGCAAGGCGGGCCCTCCACTCAGCCCACCTGTGCTCAGCACACCCGGCCCCACCTTGCCTCACACACACACACACACACACACACACACACACACACACAGCCCTCCCGGCACACCCTGCCCCGCACAGTGTGGGGAATGCCCTCTGAGGTTCTGAACTTCCCTGAAACCTGACAAATGTGTGAGAAGCTGGCGCACCTGTGCTGCCGGCTGGGAGGCCCCCACCCCATGGAGTGGTCTTTTAGAAGGCGTCCTCCAGAGGCCCCCCTGGAGGCTCTCGGGGAATCAGCCCCACCAGCAGGGGGAGAGGGACTTGCAGGGCGTGGTCCTGAGACACTCCGCAGTCACAGTGAATAGACTCCAGGAGTGGACACCTCCCAGGAGCCCTTCTGTGACTGTGTGTGGAAAACAGGCCCCACCCCCTGGAGGGAGGGAAGGGGCCCCTGGGGGGAGTCAGCCGACCTGGCAGCTGCCCCCTCCACCCGTGGTGATAACAGCGAGGTGACGCTGAAAACCCTGTGTTAAGAGTGAATCAGAACTTCTTTTGGAAACCTGGAGGGATTCGCTATTCAGCAATCTATCAACCAAGTAAAAACAATGCAGTCTCATCAAATGTGGTCCCACTGCCCCCGAGATGCTCCACGTGGGGAGTCCTGGGGTCAAACCTCAGCAGATGAGAAGGCTGCTCTCACGTTTAGGGAGAGTGAGGTGGGGGAGGGATGCCAGGGCAGTATCTCAAACACCCCACCCACGGGAGGACAGGGGGTAGGGTGAGGGGGCCGGGTGCCCACAGCACCCAGGCCACGGGCACTGTCCCAAGCGTGTTCCCAGCAAGTGGATGCCCACGAGCTGGGATTGTCTGTCCTGTTGTCACTCAAAGAGTATTTTACCCAGGCCTGGCATGTCCCTCTGCTCCGGAAACATGTGCTGAGGGTTGAATGACTTCTTTACCTGTCGTAATTCAAATCATTCATCCAATGGCCGCCTTTCTCCTAGACACCAGAGAGCAGAGCAGTCAGAGGCGGCCACAAGGGTAAGGGTCCCTCCGTGGACTCATGGGCAGGGCAGCTCCGGGGTGTGGGGCAAGAGCCGCAGGTGTTGCAGACCCTGATGAGGCCCCGCCTTCTCAGGGCCTCCCTCCCTGCTCTCAGATAAAAGCCCGCCCCCCCCCCCTGCCGGGGTCCAACCCCAGCAGGTCCAGGGGTCCCCAAAGGTGTAGACGGAGTTGGCGAAGAAGGAAGGACACGGAGACAGTGTTCAGTTGATCAGCAGCCTAGCCAGGATCTCCAGCCAGGATCTCCAGCCAAGTTCTGGTCTGGATCTCCAGCGAAGTTCTGCTTAGGATCTCCAGCCAGGTTCTGTGTCCATGTTGTCTTGCTGGGTTCTCCAGCCAGGTTCTCCAGGTTCTCCAGCCAGGTTCTGTAGCCAAGTTCCCTCACTAGATTCTCCAGCCAGGTTCTGTCCAGGTTCTCCAGCCAGGTTCAGTTACCAGGTTCTAGTCATGTTCTCTTGCCAATTTCTGTAGTCAGGTTCAGTCCAGGATCTTTTGCCATGTTCTGTCTCTAGGTTCTGAGGCCAGTTTCTGTCCAGGATCTTTTGCCATGTTCTCTCCAGCGAAGTTCTTCTGTCTCTAGAGAACGTTCTGTGTAGGTTCTGTGCCTAGGTTCTGTCTCTCTTGGTTCTGTGTTCTAAGTTCTGTCTGTAGGTTCTGTCTTCTTAGTTCTGTGTTCTAAGTTCTGTGTCTTGCTGTCTTATTACATCTGTATTTATACCAGTTGATTCAATCCTATCAATCTCTATTACAAAGGTTAGGGCGTTTCTTACCTCCATTCCAGGGAGTAAAGATTATGTAGCTTAAGCGTGATTGTTTATAGTTAAAGTGATTAACTACCCACCTGGCACTTAGTTAAGGAGTTTTATCCCCTCCCTGACTTCAGGGAAAAATCCCTACCTGGGGAAACAACCTTTCTCAGAGACCTTGGTTAAAACACATAGTGCCAAGAAGGTGAGCAAACATATTAAGAACAGTATGCCATATATGCCAGGTCCTTTGAAACAGCAAGGATGGACCGGCTCCCGGCAAATTCCCCCTTTTTTATTTTTTAAAAAGCAGGCATTAAAAAGAAAAACCCCAAATGTTCTCTTGTATCCATTTTTAAGAGTAGGATTGGCACTTTCCGCTATTACCTGAGTCCTGATCTATCATCCCAGGGAGAGCTTGCCAATCCTGCACTTTCCCAGGGTGGAAAGGCTGCAGTGGGGTTAAGGATAAGGCTCCTTGGGCCTCCCTCCTCCCATGCCTTTACATTTACCTTTCCGGCACCTTTCCTTCCTCAGAAAAGCATGGACATACTTCTTGTATAAAACATTCTGTCTGACTGGGCATAACCTTAACTCCTCTGCTAGCAAGCATATGTGTTAAAATATCAATACAGAGTCTTTTTTCTTTGGACTCAGTATGGCACATCTTCTCAATCTAAGTTCTGTACTATCCACCTTCTTACCCTACTTATTCTTTATAGGGGGGTCTGTAGCACCCTGGTGGAGTCCTATCCGTCCCGAATGTGGGGGTTCTCAATGGTGGGGGGGCTTACCAATGGGAATCCTGTTCCAGGGGTTCCCAAAGGTGTGGACGGAGTCGGCGAAGACTATCCACCCTCTTCCTACGGTGGAGTCCGATCCATCCCGAGAGCGGGGCGCTTACCTAGGGGTCCCTGTTCGGGCGCCAGATGCCGGAGTCCAACCCCAGTAGGTCCAGGGGTCCCCAAAGGTGTGGACGGAGTCAGCGAAGAAGGAATGACATGGAGAGGGCGTTCAGATGATCATCATAGCAAGGTTCTCTAGCCACGTTCTGGTCAGGATCTCCAGAGAGGTTCTGCTTAGGATCTCCAGCCAGGATATGTGTCCATGTTCTCTTGCTAGGTTCTCCAGGTCCTCCAGCCAGGTTCTGTATCCATGTTGTCTTGCTGGGTTCTCCAGCCAGGTTCTCCAGGTTCTCCAGCCAGGTTCTGTAGCCAAGTTCCCTCACTAGATTCTCAAGCCAGGTTCTGTCCAGGTTCTCCAGCCAGGTTCAGTTACCAGGTTCTAGTCATGTTCTCTTGCCAATTTCTGTAGTCAGGTTCAGTCCAGGATCTTTTGCCATGTTCTGTCTCTAGGTTCTGAGGCCAGTTTCTGTCCAGGATCTTTTGCCATGTTCTCTCCAGCGAAGTTCTTCTGTCTCTAGAGAACGTTCTGTGTAGGTTCTGTGCCTAGGTTCTGTCTCTCTTGGTTCTGTGTTCTAAGTTCTGTCTGTAGGTTCTGTCTTCTTAGTTCTGTGTTCTAAGTTCTGTGTCTTGCTGTCTTATTACATCTGTATTTATACCAGTTGATTCAATCCTATCAATCTCTATTACAAAGGTTAGGGCGTTTCTTACCTCCATTCCAGGGAGTAAAGATTATGTAGCTTAAGCGTGATTGTTTATAGTTAAAGTGATTAACTACCCACCTGGCACTTAGTTAAGGAGTTTTATCCCCTCCCTGACTTCAGGGAAAAATCCCTACCTGGGGAAACAACCTTTCTCAGAGACCTTGGTTAAAACACATAGTGCCAAGAAGGTGAGCAAACATATTAAGAACAGTATGCCATATATGCCAGGTCCTTTGAAACAGCAAGGATGGACCGGCTCCCGGCACCCCCCCCCCTCCCGAGGACAGGGGATCCGAATTCTCGAAGGACTTGCCAAACGAGACAGGGCCATTTGCTGCCCAGGTCGAGAGCATCTAGCCCAGCAGAGGGGACAGGAGGGCCTAATGACAATAAACCAAAGCACGGACTCTGCATCTTCAGGAACAGCCGCTGTCCTAAGCCAGCTCATCTTTCAGAGAAGATGTGTTCCTACTGTGTGATAGTTTCACCTGCTCACGAAGCAGGAAAAGGGAGCCCTTTTCACCTGAACCAAAATCCTCTTGGTCACATGGGGTCTTATCTAAACTAACTCTCTGACTCCCTAGAAAAACAAAGTGAATGAATGCTGTAAAACTGAAAGTTCATTGTCTCTGGGACCTTAAACGTCAATAGGCAGCAAATGAAACGCGGCTACAGAACCCACGCTGCATTTGTTGTCACGGGTCTGCCGACGTGAGGTAGCTGCTCAGAGCCAGGTTCTGCTCTTTCTAATAAAACCTGCTGGGAACAGCAAGTCCACAGCGCACCCCTCCCGGAGTGCTCAGACAGTGCCCGGATGAGAAAGACTAGCATGCTGTTGAGGAAGCCTTCAGGTGTGCAGGCCAGGTGGCCTTGGGCTCTGGGCCACTGGGGGACAGCCCTCCCTGAATGGATCCGGGAATCCACCCACAGTGCCAGGTGGATTCGAGCTCAGTGGGGATTCTCTCGCCTAGTTCTGGCCCCCAAATCTGGTGGCGACACACCGAGAGCCACCGTGAGGTGGGGAGGAGCCCTAGAGGAAGGGCTGGCCCCAAGTTCCCTCTCCCCCTCACTCAGTCCCCGAGAGCTCACCCCTCCCTACTGCTTCCTTGTCATTTGTTTTCTCCCTCACCCTTTCCTTTCCCCTTTCTCTGTCGTTCCTTCTCTCTGTCTATCTGTCTCTCTGTGAGTCTCTGTCTGTCTCTCTATTCTATATCTGTCTCTCTGACTCTCTGTTTCTGCATCTGTCTGTCTGTGTTGATCTCTCTCTATCTCTCTGTCTCTGCTGCCTATTTCCGTCTGTCTCTCTCTGTGTGTCTGTCTCTCTGCCATCCATCTCTGCCCTGGTCACGCCGCCACCTCTGCCTCTTCTCACACTTCATG